TGTAATGCGTCGTTAATGGAACTATGCTTCTCTCAAGCGGGATTGACTTGCTCCAGCATGTCGAGGTTGGATTCTTTATCATCTGCCTGTCACCCTCCTGATCAGTAAATAGAACCTGGGCTGCAGTTTCGTACTATTGAAAGTTAAAATTAGGGTGAGAATTACCTGTTATTCCACCAGTCTGAATAGTCTTTTGGCAAAGGATGAAAGTTTGGTGAATGCTAATCTGATAGGTTCTTGTGTGGAAGAGGACTGATCGAAGATGCAATCATAAGGGATTTCGTAGCTCAGTGGATCCCAGTGGTGATGTCACAACACCTGCAGAATCAATATGAAAATCCTGCACACATCTAGGAATCCAGACATCCTGACTACAGGTTCCCGGAGGACCCATCTTCCAACATTCGATACAAAGGCGGAATGGATCACGACTTATTTTTGCAATAATAACAATTCGTGTTCGACCCTCTGAGTTCAATAGCCACCACCAGTGTTCCCAACGGGCCAGGTAGGCCAGGCTGAACCGAAGCCGGGCCCGGCCTGCCACAACTATGGGGGATTTAGCCCGGCCGGAGCCTGCAGGCTTTGAAAAGCCTGGGCCTGGCCTGGCTGGGCCCAGCTATAAGCCGTATAGGCTAAGTACCTGCCACCTGATAGGCCGGCCCAGCCTATATAGCCTAGCCAAGCCGGGCCCAGCCTATGAATACGGGCCTACAACCCCCTCAGATCCTTGATTTCCATTCGGCTCATCTCCCATTCCATTAAACTAGTCCGAGTTACTCCCAGGGGAGAATCGTAAGTTATATAGTCCCTACGCAAATTCCACGCACTGGTGTTAACAGAATAGAACGAGTATCAGTAAGATCACTAATAGTATTAGGCACTGATCCTACGTGCGGGTAGTAATATGGATTTGCTCGTGGTTGATGAAAACCCCCGAGGTCTAATAGGACTTGGCCAACCATAGTGGGCACATTCACTGATAGATTCCTGCCGAAGAAACTGAATTGGAAGGAAGGATTGTGAGATAGGACTGCATTGGAGAATCTAGAGGTAGATTTCCTGGACTTCTTTGAGCTGGTTGTGGATCGGTAATCGCATAGTTATCATACTTCAACCAACAACTAAGGATAGAGATAAAATAATAAACCACAATGAAAGTTGTAAGGAATCGAGCCACTCTTAAAACAATCAGCTCTAAAAATCCCACTTACAGGCCTATAGGCTCCTACCAGGCCTGATAGGCTTTGGCAGGCCGGTTGAGTTCGGCCTATATCCGCCTAGGCTCATCGTCAGAGCGGCCTGCCTTGGCCCAGCCTACGGCCTATCACTGGCCTAGCCCGTTGGGAACACTGGCCACCACTCCGCATCCAAGTGGAGTAAGTCCAGTGTTTCGGAATATCCAACCTCCATCATCAGTGAAGGCCAAGATTCCTTTCCTAGGCGTGTCGCGGGTAGTAGGCCCCGGTCTCCCTCCTTACTACGGACTCCTGGAACCTTTGAATCGTGTTGCACCCACGCCAGAAATCGAGTCCATTCCATGCCCAGGAATGGCTATAATCTTGCCTACTATTCTCAAAAATAAATCACAGGCAACAGCTTCATGTTTGCGTCCAGGCATCATTCGTAAGATCGCTGCATTGAAGGAATTCTCAAACGTAAAACGCACCACGGATCTCAACTGACAGGCAATTAACTGTGTCTCGATTGCCTGGAAGTCATTGTCAGTGATACCATGGAAATATAAAAAGGTTTCCATAGCGGAGTCGACATCAACCGTAGTTGTTATGATCTTGACTAGTTCCCCGGGAGATTTGTATTCGAATTTGTGCGGAATTGAAATAGCTCGCCGCTCGAAGGGGTTATACGGGCAGCTACTTGTGGTACCGGGCCAATCGTGTGTGTCGGCCGGGTAGTGCGAGCCCTGATCTGTTTTGCTGCAGGACATGACAGGTGCAATAGCTAAGCTATACCCAGGGAATTAGACTCGGAGACTTTGCAAACAGGAAGGTGACATGAGGCATATTATGTTCTGAACCAACCAGACTGACTAGCTTCGATCCCGTTTGTAGGGTCGCCAGGTCGCTATCGGTAAATTGTAATGGGACAGGGGCCGGCGACGGTTATGAGCCCTTTTTCCGGGCACCTGCTATCGACGAGAATGGAAACTCTGAGTCAGTGATGTTGACCGCCTTAAAGGGCGAGAGGAAGAAGAAAACATTGGAGAGACTACCTAGCACTTTGAAGAAGGAGGTACCGTATTAACTTGAATAAGAGCAACACATCTCGGGACGGGAGAAAATACCAGCAAAATAAAACCACGCGTTACCAAGAGGGGAAACCTAGACGTCCCGAGCGGTGTTGCTCTTATTCAAGTTCATACGGTAGTGGCGTGGGCTGCTATTGGTGCTGGAGTATATTGTGCGGGGTTGGGTGTTGTTGAACTCGGTAGATCCGCTATTGGAGGGCTCAATAAGGATCACTGCCGGAACCACGATCTCCCTTGCAGAATAGGTTAACAAAATGACCGATCATAGTGCCTGAGATCCAGCAAACTCACCCTTTCCGAGCTATACCAAATTTTGAAAACACTATTCCGGTGCCCAGAGTCTGTGCTTGATGTGGAGGGGTCGAGGCTGAATGGATCGAGGCTGAATGGAGATTGACTTCGAGGATGGAACTTTCAGGTTGAGCACACTTTGAATTGGTTTGTAGAAAGCTGTTTAGATAAAGAGTGAGAAGGAATGTATATTAAACAGGAGAGGGATACCGGAGTTGTTGGGAACAAGAGGATTGAAGTTGATATGCAGGTTGAGAAATATTGTTAGGGATCGATGATGACGGCCAAGAGGATATAATCGTGGGATTGAAGTTGCCAATGGCCTCTTAGGAGATGGGTGATTTTCAGGAAACCACGATTGCCTCCGATGACTGCTTGTGTGATTGCCTCCGGTGACTGGTTTTATTTTTGTGCTCTTTGAGTCAAGCGGGTACTGGTACAAGCACAATCGGACAGTTTCCGTGGACCGGGTGAGCCCTCATCCTTCAGCGAGGCACGGCGATATTTAGCAGCAAAGGATCCCCGCGGTCAACGAGAGTAGGTAGCCAAGCCATGCCGCGCCTCGCTGAGGGCTCACCCAGTCTATGGCGCAACTACCGTATGATACCAGTATCATAGCTAGGTAATGGGCAGGGGAGCCGCACCGAACCCTAACCCAGCTCCACCCCAGAATTCCATCTGATCGTAAGGCACCTTGCCCGGGTTTCGATAGTCTAGGATCCTCCTGTACGAGGGTGTGGACAAAAGTGATCGGGAAACCGCTCGGAAAACCGCTAGACCATGTGAGGGCTCAGCGAGGCGACACCCTCAGCGAGGCTTGGCGATATTTGGCAGCAAAGATTGCCTACGGTCAACGACAGTAGGGAGCCAAGCCGTGCCGCGCCTCGCTGAGGGTGTCGCCTCGCTGAGCCCTCACACGGTCTAATTTGACCAATCGTTGTCATGGGCTGTTTGAAGGCGGCCAATTACCGCAGGTTTCAGACCTGAAGTGAGGAAAAAAGTGATCGGAGAGCTGATCACGTGCGTTCCGATCACTTACCCTTACACCCTCGTACTCGTATGTGCGCTCCGGTCAGTTGGTCAAGCTGGGTCTCCGTAGACTACCTTATCTTTGAACTCCTCCCAACTGGCTAAACAGCTAAACAGTTCCCGCTTGTACTTTGGTCATCAGTCGAAAATATTCCCAGGTTCTATCACACTTTCTTTCACTTTTTTTCCTGCCCCTAATTTCCCACTCAGCACCAGTAGATTTCCCCCGATACCATCTCAACGGAATCACCCCGCCCTCGATTCGTCTCATCAGCGGGATAAGAAAATTCCATCCTAGCTTTATCAGGCCATGCTGTTGACAGAGTATTCTATCAACCACCGGGGGTTGCAAGAGGGGACGATGAAAAACACCCTGGAGAGGCGCAGGCAACAGGCTTATTTAAACGCAGGGGCACTAGTTCCTTTCGGGGTCCTCAACTTGTGGGATCGTGTTAGGCGACGATAGCATCACGATGTGGAATGGTTCTTGCTTTCGTCGATCGCAATTCCCGACCTTTCTCTGTATTTCTGCGGCAGCTCAACTTGTTAAGGGTGGCAGTTGTTTCTTTTCTACACTTTGGCGGTGGACAGAGGGTATTTTTCATGTTGTCGTTTCCTGCTCCTGTGGTGTCACTGGAGGACTGAATATAGGTGCAGTGGCGTAGAGGAGGTGGAATTGAAGAAATAAAGTAGATAAAAGCGTAGTAGATAGATTTGGTTGAGATAGGCAATTCACTCAGACAGAAAAATTGGTTCAAAGTTCGCATAATTGTTTCTAACTAGCTGCCTAGGTCCCTTTTCATATGACTTGCCTCTTCCTATGCCGTGCCTGTGTGGATGAAATTTTTTCACCTGTGTCAAGGGGGAAGAAACTTTTGACTCAATGAAACAAGAAGGAAACCTGAAAGAAACTTTCAGCTGCAGGGAGATAAGAGATCAAACAGGTAAATGATGAAAAGAATTGAAGTATGCAGGGGACAATATTCCAGCAGGAATAATAGTCGTTGCATTGGGCATGCACTAACATTGCCCTCTCTATTCACGTTCTGATGCGCATTAGGAAGACTAAGGGGCAAGCACAATTTATGTCACATTCACTCATTTCACACAGTGCCAATCGCTGCTCAATGACAGCACACCGGCTTTCTCGCCTCTCTATGATAGTATTATAATGAGCTGTAGCAGCCTCTGTCCCTTTACTAACCTCAGACCAATCCCCTGCGATCCGCATAACGTTATCCCTGAGCTACCTTATCTCAACTCGTCAAGGTTAGACCGGACAATCCCAGCTAGACATCACAAGCCGCCCAATTTAAAGCTCTGTGTGGACCGCGAGCTGTTGACAATCCCGTGGGACCTCAACATGGAGGCGTCTAATTCAGAGAGCTATACACGCTGTTAAGGCCCTAGGAGTGGAAATTGGGTATACCCTGGGGGAGAGATGCTCTTGAACACAAGGAACTATGGCGGCGGAGATCCGATGGTGGCGGATATGCGTGCAATCGTTCCAATACATAACGCGGGTGACGAGAGAGTGCGAAAGAATATTAAGCACAGGGAGGTTTGTAGGGGTTCGGAGAAGCGGGTTCAAGTTCTAAGCTCTAGCAACTCGGCCCAGAGCCTTCGCCGATGTTTCGTGAACTGGTAGATGTGGTGGGACAAAGCTTGCCTCTCTCCCCGGGCATGAAAACTCACGCTGGAAGTCCAGTTCGTAGTCCTATTAGGGTATCAACCCCACGCCAGCTTTGCTTTTCAATAACTAACACGAAATAGCTACCAAGTGCCCTTCGACTGCTGTGAGTGCACCACTGACTCCTGCGAGAAAAAGATTGAGTACGTTATTGCTTTGTACTGTGGAAAGCGCAACCCGAAATGGGCAGAAGGGTGGACATTCAACCCATGCATCATGAAACAAACAACTAATTATAATCTAATGAAGACATCACAAGTATGTGTCAAATAAGACCTGTTGACTTCTATATGCCAGTGAGTTATAGTATAAAAGATAATATACTTATAACTCAGAACTTAGAGTCTTGTAAAACCAAATTCTTGCTTAATCACAATTTAAGTTAGGTACCTGTGAATTTACTATTATGGGATACAATAGTCACTGACAAGCTACATTTTATCAAGAATAGTAATCCTAGTATTGGTTTTCTTCTATTCTTTCTTTTAAATCACTTTTAAGTTTAAAATAAAATAAAATATATTGATTGACCCAGTCAATAATAATTACATCAGCTCTGCCTACTGCTCTCACTATTATTTGTATATATCTACTGCTAATTACTAGAAGTACAAGGTTATAGAACAGTTATTTAAGGTTAACCAGTAAAAGTTATTTCTATTTATTCCACCTAGGTGTTTTTTCTATTCATATATCCTATTGCAATACCTAATTCAGGATATAGAACTTGGCATTTCTCGGCATTTCCCCAATTAGGGATTTCAAATATACGTATATTATGATAATATACCGTATATTATATTTTACTTTTTATACCATACATATGATACATACCTGTACTAAAATAAGTAACCCTAAATCATAGGCCCTAAAGAGTAAATTTTCTGATTAACCACTCTAACAAGGGGTTTAGTGTAGTGGCTTTTGTCAAGTTCTGTGGTGTCATTTGATGTGAGCTTTTGCCTAAAGTGAAATTTTCACTTATATACACCTTCGCAAACCCTACCACAAAATGATAACACCATTAATAACACCATTGATGAGAACTAGTTACTCAGAACTGACATAAATTTGTAACTAGTTTTTTTCCAACACAAGGTCCTGTTCCACTTTTACATCTTCTGGTGGTCATTATTATAGAATTGTGGATTATTATGGAGGTGATTTTCTAGTACCAAATAAGATACGTATTTTATAATATTATACTGTTAAAATACTGTATTATACGGTATTATACAAAATTGTATAAATACGAAATCAATCCCTATCCCCAATCAGTTGCAATGGGTTTCACTGGTATTCCTGTTTCGTTAGAGGTCCTACCTTTAAATGCTTTGTACCATACAACATTTACACATCTCCCAAAACATTCATCAACTACTCTCTCACTCTTCTACTCTCATACTCATCCCTTGTAACTTTCACCTTCAGCTCTCTTTCTCTAGTTTGCTTAGGACCTCTTATCTTAAGTTGTACAAGTATGTCAGCCAAAATCTTTAAACAAATTCTAGATATGATTAAGACATATAATCCAGACCTTTTAACCTTTCATGGTATGAAAGAGGATGACTTTGACCAGATCATCAAAGGCATATGACATCCTGGGAATTTCCTTGAACAGTATGTCTTTCAGTAACCTTTCCCCCCCCTCTCCACCTCCTACCTCTATTTCATGTAACTAAATTGCTTCTATTATATCTACTGATTTGCAGGAGAAAAATTCAAGTTGATCAAGGTCATTATGCCTACTGCATTGCATAAGTGTACTGCGCAGTGGGTTATTGATGAGATCTCAGATACATTGGTAAAAGGAATAATTCCTCAAGTCTGAGTTTGAAAAATTGGAATTAGTCCCTTCTTGAGTTTGTTACTAATTGTGCCTGATCAAAATGCAAAAATCTAGCCAAATCAGATTCACTAGAATATAAAAACTTTATTAGGTAATACCAAGGATACACAAAGGAAGCTGACTTGACTTTTGTCCACATCTTGGTCCTAATTAGACTAAGGATATACAATATCCTTCCATAGTCCTGGAGTCTAGGTGGTCTGAGTCAGCAGAGCAACTTAAACAAGATGTCTGCCTCTGGTAGGCTAGATCCAGTAGCCAAGTCTGGGTCATCATTCAAGTAAAGTTTTACAAACAGCAGGATTATATTAGAGTATATGTGTGGCTCAACTGGGCTAAGCTGGCTAACAACTCTATTGAAACCTCTATTAAAATCTATGCAAGGCTCTTCTATGTCCTAATACTACCGACTTTGTTACTAATGAGCTAATTTTATCTGTAGGAAGTCTTTCCCACACCTACTAGTCCTATTGAAAACCCATCTATCACATTTGAGGAATTCTTTTCTGGGGGTTGTCCTTCTGGAATAGACCTCAATGGGTGCATTGTTCTTAATCTCAAGAATCTTCATATTATCGCAAGGGAGAAGATTCATGCTTGCAGAACTGTCCCTGATGGAGTCTCTAATGGATAAATTCAGTAAGCCCCCAATAAGTATCAGTATGGCCCAACAAGCTGTGGAGGGGCAGTGTGTAATCTCCCAGTTTTGCTTTCATGCCTTGGCTGTAAGCTGTCAACTCGGCCATTTTGCCACCTTGGATTCAAAATCTGTATCCAAGTCACCATATGATAATAGAGGTTACACACTTCCCCTTTATTGCTTCTTGCCTCCAGAAGATCTGTAACATACAACTAATGGTACAAGCACTAGTGGTACTGGTTACATGGAGGGTTTGAGATGGAGGAATACTATGGGTAAGTCATTTTCAAGGGCATGTTAGAGGACATGGGGTGGTAGTATTGTTCTGACAATATTGGTGCAGGGGTGAGATATATTCTTTCAGCCTATGTATGTTCATAATTTGCAATAAAGTATCCACAGGGTATGTGACTTGTCTTGCACATCAAGGGTTTAAGATGTAGTAGGTGGTGTGAACGTACCCCACATAATGTACTTTTTAACCAGATAATATGGTGACTTGCATGGGAGGATGAGGCTACTGTCAGCATGAACCTGTTAATAGTCTTTGACCCTCTCCTGAAGTACTCAGATATCACCTCCTGTGCTTCCACAACTGTCAAGATCCTATAAACTAGAGAACACTCTTGGGATAGGAGAAATCATATAACATGGACTGTCCCCACTGTTATTTTTCAGCTTCACACTGCCTTTTCCGTTTTGTCTCTCAACTAAAAGTTTAAAGGATAAATTCATGTCACCAATGAGTACACAACAGCATGCAGCCACCTGTGCCGGCAATCTCAAGCTACAGGAAAAAACAGGCCCCCTAATCCGAGCAATGTCCTCCCACAGCTGACCTTGAGGCAGTAGCAGTTTTTCCTCATTGCTTTCACGGGGTGTCACCCATAAATTTCTTTTGCATGTGGAATCAATGGATATATTATGGATGCATTTGACCTGTTCTTCCTATCTCCAACCATCACCACACTCTACAAAGACGTTTCACAAGTCCAAGGCCAACGTGATATAGGGTATATCTCCAGTATTGCTGTTGCGATATGTCGGTACCATCACCTTCGGTAATGTTGCCAACAAGTGGGAGAGGAAGGGGCCGTTTATTCTGAAGATTTTTTTTTGATTTTTTTGGAAATGGCAACTGAGTTCTGGGATATGTTCTTTTCAGCGAGGATCGATAATGGCGACAATAGCGAAACGCAACGGAACCGCAAAACAAGACGAAACGAAACCCGAAGTCCTCACACAAGGCAGCAATCACAACTCATGAGCGGGGAAGACTCTTCTCTTCATGGTACTCCCCTCTTTCTACTCACTAATGGTAAAGACAGGAGTATCTATTCACAACAACAACAACCAAGTCATACCCATCCTTTCTAGGTTTGTCTCCCACCTACTTGCAAACTCCATGGCTAACAAGAGAAAGACAATCTTCTACTGTCCACAGTTTCCGCACATTCCATACCCCGGCCATCAAACTTCCCGGCTTCCCAGACCTCCTTTCCACTTTTTCTTCTTTTTTTCCCATGGATGCATCGATCCAAAACTTCCACACAGTCACGCCGCCCAAATGCTTTCCTTTCAGCCAAATGCGCCCAACGTCGGTCGCGTGTCGGGTATAACATGAGTGCCCAAATCAATATAGGTGAACTCTAGCAATCATATAGAAACAGTGAGTTGTGGAAAGGAAGCCTAGTCCTCTTACACGCCAAATACAATGGTGCTTGAATGGGCTGCGAAAAGCTCCACAAAGAGGAAGGCGAAGGCGACCAAATGGAGAGATCCTATGACGATAGTGAGGACAGCGATGGCGACAGAAGCAAGGATGATGTAGGCGAGAAGACAGCGGGCAATCGAGAGAATGAAGAAATTCTAACAGGCGAGGCCGATGGCATTGATAGTGTTAAGGCTTCGGGAAGTAACGAGAATATAATTTCTTGGTTCAAATTCCTCGGTAGTACGACCACGAAGGAGGGGGTAAATTCTGAGATGTGGAGTTGGCTTGCCTCTTGGATGCAATAGCTTAAGGTGCGCAAACTGGGTCGGTAGTCATCTTGTAGTTATTTACGAAGTTTAAGATTGAAGTACCCTGGCCAATTCACCCCAACAGTCACACACACGTTCGTATCGCTAACAGAAACTTAATGCCAGAACATAGAAGCACTCGAACGTCCCACCGGAGTTCAGGTGGAGAAGCCCGCTGCTCATTGATGGGCCCGTCCTGGATCGCGTATAAGGCCGCGTACCTGGCTGATAAGACGAGAGAGCGCATTCTCGCCGGAAGTATTCCCTTGTACGAAGTTCTTGGTAGCTTGGTGTACTAGATATTGTATTCCTTAGGGAGAGCTTGTGGAGGGGGTTTCTTATATGACTTAGAATAGTCGACGAGGCGGACTTGGTAGTTGTGTAGAGGTCGTTGAGCGTTTATCCTTTTGCAGCACTCCGGGATGGGCAAGGGTGGGGTTGGTAAGATTTTAATTCATAATGAGGGGGTCGGGGGGGCAGGCGGGCGGACGATATCCCTTTGCTGGGTGGGGGAGGCGAGGGACCGAGAAAGCTAGCGACGGAGCTGGGGGTGGACGCAGGAGTTGGTGCACGTTTGGGGGCTAGTCGGAGGCGGGAGTAGTAAAAAGGTTATGAGGGAGCGTGAGAGTAGGGAAGATGCCGAATGGGTAGAAATTATAGACGTTAAAATTGGCCGTTGAGTGGAAGACGCTGAGCATGAACCATCCGTAGGAAGAGGTACGAGTACGGCAGAGTCAAAAGGACCGCACGGAGGCTAAGAACCGGCCGGAGCCCTTCTCGGCGAAGTCTATCTTTCCTTTATCGCCATGGGAGGGCGCAGAGGAACAGCGAACTTACGTGGATATGTGTGGCCATTGGCGGAAGGTACGAGGATGCTTCTGTCGTGATTGATATATACTCCTGTCTTGTCTGCTTAGTTCGTTTAGTAAGCTGTGTTGAGCGAGAGAGCGAGCAGCGAGCAAGAACGTATCATAGAATGAGAGCTAACTACACCTCTTGTCCGAAGTTTGCAGAGCGACTAATCGTCATTTCACTTCATTTCGTTTGACCCCATGTCGCTCCGCCACCTGCCTGCCCGCCACCCAACGGCTTCGCTACTCAAAACAACCAACCCGCCCTCCCGAGAATAGAACCAACCTCAATACCGCCGCCTAGGAACCAGAGCCTTAGGTGAAAACAGTCGGTAGCACGGGGGGTGGATATTCATCATAAAATGTGAGTGCAGGGGGTGAGGGGGGACTGTTTGGATTTAGAGTTTTAGCTTTGCTTTCGTTCTTGGTTGCGGTATGCTAGCTGGTCAGTTATTCCTTTTGAGAACTATATATATGATATGCTTTGCCTTTCTCGTATTAGATATTATCTGTTTACTTGTAATTTCATCGCGTATTCGGAATCAGGTATTATTAAGAATTTATAGCTTAGCGCTACAACCAAGTATGGGTAGAAGGATCCACTATTAATTATATAATTTATTCATGTTCAGGTGAAGCGTCTGCTCCTACAGTACATTTTAATTTACAGACTAGTCTCTCATGGATTAAGAGATAAAACATAATAATACTACCAATATACTTGTACCTGCAGCCTTGGCTTTTATAGGATTTCCACTATTAGCTAGTACTCCGATATTGTTTCCTCCTACCTTTCAGTTAGGTATCCATAATTACCACTTTGTAATACAGCTTCAAATTCATGGCAACTAGTTAAAAGAATGAACAGAAAAAGATAGAAAGAAAAGGATAAATATGTGAATAAACAGCCTGAGGAGAATGAGAGAAGCAAGTAAGAAATGGATAAAGAAAGAAAGAAAGAAAGAAAGAAAGAAAAGCAGAAATGAGTGATTGAAGAAATAAATAACAGAACGATGAAAAGAATCAACTATAGAAGAAATTAACAAATGAATGACAGAACAACTGAATGAATAAACAAATAAATGAATAAACAAATAAACAAATAAATAAATGAAGGAATAAAGGAATGAGCGAAGGAAATAAGAAAATAAGAGGGTTGGCTTTATATTACGTTGAAGGCAGTGAAATGACTTTGCTCAAATTATCGTCACCAATGCTACTCCTCCTATCAGATCATTATTGTTATCATGGGCTACATTCTCCTCTTTCTACGTCACCCATCATGTCTTCATAATTCTGACATACTTGCCGGCACTTTTATAGCAACCACATTCCGAATACACGATGAGAATACAAGTACAGGGCGCTACCATGATGGCATGAGACTGTTGCATCTACCATCATGAATGACCACTCGAGTGTAGTAGCCTATCACACGAGGGGTTCATTATCTACTCGCGTAGCCCGACTTGGAGGCTAGATCAATTCCGTATCACAATTCCGTATTCCTCTGCCATACGCTTATCATCGGGGAGTATAGCCCCTGGCGCCCTTCCACGCTCAAGTATAACCTGTAATTTACCTCTGAATAGAATCTCGCGCAACCTGAACCCTATTCGTTCTTATTTTCCAATCGCCACCCTAGCACACTCACTTGCGGGCACCTCCTCCCCCAACGGTGCATAGTATCCATGATACTACTCTTCAAGTTATACCCCAGCACCTTTTACTAATAAGGAAACCTGGACCATTGGGTATTCTATCTACAGGTTTGCCCCAACACATTCCCGCCTGCCTCTATCATTCCACCTTCAGGTCTTATGTATAGGTATAGATACAGATTGCCATAGCTCACTATCGTAGGATCGTTACACTCGGGCTGAGATGCGGAACCTCGCTCCCCTTTTCCTTATTTTACCTTACCCATTTCCAGTTAAACAAAATAATGCGGTACACTCGTATTATATCCATCTAACTTATTGAGTGGTGCGGTATCCACTATTATATAACTTTGCGCCTTGGCACTCAACAACGTCACACTCTCCAAACGCGATCATTTCAACCTCACCACCACCGCCATTTACAATTATCAACACAACCGCAATGTTCCGCTTCGTATATGCCCCCATCCGCCTCCCCATACCCATCCCCATCCGCCTCCAGCTCTACCCCTACCAAACTAACCAAAGATAAACTAAAAAGCACAAAACCCTCGACGTCCTAACGCTCTTCCACGCCCCTGCCTCCACCGCTTCCAAGCGCATCCTGGAAACCCTGCGCTCGAGCCCGACAGCGCACAAAAAGTCCTTCGAGCTCGACGTCGTCGAGGCGCCCACGGTGCCGACGCCCACGCAGTTGAGCTCGATACTGGACTTCATCGGGAAGAACCGGGTCGCGGAGGTGGTCCCCGGCGCTAGGAGTGAAGGGGATGCGGTCAGGATGCTTAGCGGGGGGGAGGCGGGGAGAATGGTTAGACCGCTTCTGGTCGATTGGAATAATGGACGGGCGGTGGTCGGCGGGGATGAGGGTGCTGTTTTGAGGCTGTTGGAAACGTTGCCGGGGAATTGAGCGGTGGGTGGGTATTCGCCGCGTGATTTGGGGCTTGTTGTGGGTACCACACCGTTCCGGCATCTGTTTTCGCTTCGGAGGTGTTTCTGGAGACCTGCTATGCATAATAACATTATTAGTAGCTAAAGCTATATTCAGAGGGGTGGGCATGAAGGGGGGGGGGGTCTGCGGGGGCTTTCTGGTCGTTGAGACCGCAATTATGCAATAGCTTACAGAACGAGCGCCAGTTACGAAGGAACGGTTCAAAAGTCTGGGCAGATCACTGCTGCACAATACCCGGCGAGGAAGCCACATAAACATCCTACTTGGATTCATAGTAGACATTCACAAAATATGGCTACAGTCCCCACTATCCTTCAATATTGGCATTGTTGAATATAAACAAAAAGCAAAAAAAAAAGCTAGACAACATTACAATAACCTATGTATCCGCTTCACCCCCGAAAACTATAAATATCCCGGTTACTCCTAGACTGTACGACGATGTTCAGGTCATAGTACAAAGAGATCAAATCGTACGAACCGCACAAGTACTGGTGCAGTATAGGTATGACAAGGAAAGGGAGAGAGGCGTTTAGGAAAACACCCCCGAACACCGGAAAAATCAAGTATACAATGATACGAAAAGGCGAAAAACATCCCAAACGAAAAGGGGGAGGAAAAAAAACATCTGTACATTTAGTATAAAAAAGGACTCCGATTCCCCAAACGAAGAAAGAAACTACTACTCCGCTCCCCCGCCCCTACCGAGAACGCTACAAGAGGAAACTTTATAATCGAAAGCGGTGATGGCCGTAGTCTACCCCACTAACGTTGGTTGATGTGTAAGGCTGTGCTGACAAAAGAAACATAGGAGAACTGTAAGACATGGACACATTAATGAGACACTAGAGCACCGGGCTTGTATGAATTGAGAGGTTGAGGTGTTGATTCATGATTTTTTGTACGGCGATGGACGATCCTTGGGGTTTTCCTTCGCCCAGTCGGCCGGTGGGCCATACTTCAGACGGGCTTCCTGATTGATCTCGACCAGGCTCTTGGGCTTGATAGCACCTGTCGCGCTGGGCTTGACGGTGGCGATGTCATCGGTCGACCCAGTGCCATTAACACCAAAGCCAGCCATTAGCCTGGCCGAACCAACACCTCCGGTCGTCTCTGCCCTCTGTAGACCATATCTCGCTCTAGGTACAACACGTGTAGGCGACCCATTGGCATTTGTTGATATGTTGCGTTTGGCGGCTAGGTTCAATAGGCCATTGGTGGGGGGCTTAAGAGGTTGCCTTCCAAAGAGGTTGGGGCTCGTATTATCTCCAGCCTCCAGCTGTCTTGCCGGTTGATCGGGCCAACCCGTTTGAAGCCCAGGTGGCTGCATATTGGTGAAATCCGTGAAGGTATGGGATACGTGACCGAATGGCATCAGAGGAGGAGGGCCGTGTATAATCTGTACTGTAGGGGGTTTCTGACCCGGGGTAGCAACTGCATGGGATGAAGGAGACTCCATCATTATATCGGCCGGTGACTCAGGGGGCAGATTAGGGAAGTTGGCCCTACTGGGACTCGTTGATGCGGCATATCCAGAGTCGCTGCGAGAATTGCTGCTAGATAAGCTAGCAGTGCGTGGAACTAGGTCCATCTGTGCGATCCGATTTTGTACTTCGGCTTCAATCTTTTGGTTGAATGTGGATTCCGCGAATGACTCGCCCCCGGCTATGGCATAAGATCTCGGAACCAAGTCCATCCTTGCAATCCGAGCCTGCACTTCGAGCTCAACAGTTTGGCTGAATTGCTCCCGATATTCGGCTTCTAGCTCCCCTCTCATAAGAAACTTCGCCTCCTCGACCTTCTCCTTTATCACTAATTCCGCCCTTATTTCCCAATCAGATCTAATCTTCCCGTCGATCTCCCGCTCAAGTCTTTGTCTTCCTTCGATGAACCTCTGTTCCAGGGTCTTCGCGTTGACTTCGAGGCACGCCTCTTTACGGAGGCAATCATCTTCACGTAGCTTGAGCATTTTGCTTACTTCCAAGACTTGTAACTCACGGCGGAACACCCTGATTGTTTCGTCTTCCAACAGCTCCGACGAATCCGGTCGGCCATCCGGATCAACAGAAAGACATCTAGCAACCAAGTCACGAAGGCGCTTGGAGTACCTAGTCGGGATTGGTTTATATTTGCCTTTCCCGATCAAGTTTATGAGTCCGGGCAGGGTGTTTGAAGTGAATGTGAGTTCTTGGGTACACAACTCATATATAATGCATCCCATAGACCAAATGTCAGATTTAACCGTATAAGGACGGCCGCTAGAGATCTCGGGAGACATGTAATATGGGGTTCCCGCATAGGTTTCTGCAAACATATTTCCTGGTGCGAGTTTTTTCGAGAGACCGAAGTCTCCGATCTTGATGGAATTATCCGCCATAACAAAGACTTCATACTGTTAACACGTTTCCAGTAGGCTAGTGGGTGTTACCTACTGTTTTCAGGTTTCAAGTCCCTATGGAGTACCTTGATCAAATTCCTCTCTTCACTCTCGGTACGGGGAGGAGTGGTGTTTTTGTAAGAAAACAAGTCACCCAGTTCAGGGGGGTCGATCCCGTGGTGGCAGCGGTATAGCGCAGTGACAAGTTGGGCCACCACGGTCCAGACAAAATTCTCGGGAAACGAGCTGCCGCTCTCTTTGGCTTTTTTAATCAAGCCACTAAGGTCACCGTTACCGCAATATTCCATGTATCTAACAGCTAACGTCAGCAAAGGCTACTCAACTACGATAAGCCTAAGCAGTATCTAGTGCGGTGATAACTCACAAATGAACGCTGCTCTCGCTCTTAATGTGCTCTCGATGATAGTACTTAACAATGTTCGGATGATCTAGATGTGCAAGGATTTCGAACTCAGACGCAAGCTGATTCTTTGCGGTGCTCCCCATCTTGACGTATGAAATCTCTTTCCGCGCGAGCACCTGCCAAAATGTCAGCAGCAGATTCTTTACGGAGAGAGAGGGGTAGATGGGGTCTGACCATTCCGTCCTGTTTTCGCTTGACCCTGCGAATGGTGCCAAAACACCCATGGCCTATCCACAATTAGCTATACGTCATCCCAGACACCCAATCGAGGAGCCCTTGGGCGTACCGATAGTTCCTATTACATCGTAATCTGCCGACGTTAAAAGAGGCATTGTACTTGTACTTGTTCAGGTCCAAGCCCGTGGGTTAAGCTATTGGAATAAACGAGCCGTAAGTCGAGAGACCGGTGGAGGAGATGCGCTGTGTCGGAGGAAGGGAGAAGTGGGTGGACGAGGAAAGTAGAGGGGAAGGTTCAGCAAATGGCTTCATATACCGTCGGGCATGCGTCGAGACCGGGAAGGTGGTTGTCAAGCTGTCAACATCATGGAACTGCACAATTGTTGCTATGGCAACATGGGTCAGACTGCTTGGCATTTGCTCAGGAACCGGGTTTACAGAGCCGGGACTGGTAGATTACCGTATTCGATGATTTAGCCGCCGGTATTCAGCCGGCTTCTTCCAGTGCTCGTACAAGGGGCAGGCATCTAGCTATCGCGCACACGCTACTTTGTGGCCCACCAGCTTTCACGGATTTTTTGCTGGTAACCCACTTTGGTGTGTGCGAAGACTTTTTTTTAAAAAAAAATTAAATTTAAAATTATTTCCATTTCGTGCTTTCTAAACTAAACTAAAGTATCTGCACTTTCCCTCTTGCTCTGAACCTATCCAATTTAATCCTTTATCAATCTTGGTTAGCTTCCTCTCTCTCCACTCCTTTCTTCCATCCTTCCACCTATATCCCCTCCATGTTACTTGCAATAGGTACCATTTGGGGAATTAGGTACTCCTCTCTCTCCTCTGCTTTTCCCTTAATCTCCTCATCCCCTCTCTTGCTGTCCTCAATATCTCTCTTCTTCTTTCCTCTGTTCTCTCTTTCCTCTAACTCCCCCAATTCTCTCTCCATATCTGCCTTAGCACCCCTTTTCTTCTCTCCTCTCCCATTATCCTTCCACTCTTTCTATTCCTCTCTATCCACTTTGTCCTCTGCTCAAATTTGACTACTCTCCTCATTCCTTCTTTCCCAACTAACAACCTATCCATTTCCACCCAACCTTCTCACTTCCAAATCCCTTTCTACCAACTCTTCTATACCTCCTCTCTGAGCTCCTCCCACAACAAATGCCTTATCAATATATAATCCCTATCCTCTATCCCCCCACACTCATATAAGCTTCTACCCTCATGCATGAAGACTTTATACCAGCCCCTTGTTATAGTATTTACTTTCCTATCCCAAGGCTCAGACATCATACTGTACAAGTACCCATACCATAACTTATTGCAAACTATTCATACAGTGTTAATATTCAAATAATACACCCATCTTGAAAAACAGACAAAGCAGGGATTGCCTTATCTGCAACCCTATCCCAGGAGCTACCAAAAAGTATACTGAGCAGCCTGAATACAACTGTGCCAGTAGCATCTCTGTCACAAACTGTAACTAAGCAAGGCAGATTTCACATAGCTCGGACTTCCGAGTTATAGGTATGTTGGGATTTCACATGACGCACATTAGTACGCCATAGGTTATTAAATTTACCTGTTCGTGACTCACAATTGTGAGTCACACGATGTTATAATTTTTACACATGACTCATACTTATGAGTCATGGGTTTCACTCAGGTGACGCAAGTTGCGCACCTGACTTAATTATTATGTTTTGATTGGTTTTAGGCATGTTGCACAGTGACTCATAGGAGTCGTCTGATGGATTTTGCATGACTCATGGTTATGAGTCACAGGATTTGCGTGACGAAAGGTATGAGTCATGCCAGGTGAAGAGCTACTATATAAAGGGGTCACTAGAACCCTAAGTATGAGCTCTTCACATGTTCTTCTTGTTTATTTCCTACCTTCAAGTTATTATCAATAAAACCTACCTTTACGCTCTTTAAGATTTATCTTAAGAAACCCAAGAATTGTCTTTCCTCCCATGAGGAGAGATTAAGTCCTAAGTAAGGACTAAGGAGAAGAATAAGGAGATAGGGGCGAACAAGATAGTAGTCATAGGACTGGACTATCGGGATCGCGTAGGCACAGGCCTGAGAACTATCACCTTACATCAAGAGAAGTATCGTTACCTGTCGCTCGGTCCTACTTGGTAGGATTCTTAACAATCTCACATACAAGATTAGAGAGAGAAATCACCATAAGCTTACCACATCAAAAGTAGCTAACTTCAATTACTTGAACTCCCTTCCTAGATTGCCCAATGAATTCAAAAAAAAATAATACCAGTACAGACTTTAGGACTATGTATGCAATTAGGGCTAGAACGAAACCACTGGCACAGTTTCCTATACAAAAATTACTAAGACCCTATGCCAGTGCCACTCAATAGACATCCACCTGAAAAAGATATCTTTATTGGTAACAACCCAGGAGAGAAATATCCAAGAAATTCTCTTAGACCCACAGTAAATTTTTGTCTCATTGATTGAGCGGGTAGTGACACTACAATGTAGTGAAGATGTCTGCTTTTCATGTATGATAAAACATACTTCTACGAGTACTAATGATTTCTGTCTTTAGCCTCCTACATGAACGCACTTTTTCCATTTCTGGGCCATCGGACTGTCCTACCGTACAACTGTACAGTACCTGGTCAGTTCATGTTAGTTATATACTATTTGTGTAAGCTCTCTTCTCTGCAATTGTTCAGTTCGATTCCATTGTCAGTTGAAACCCCCCCCCCCCCCCACCCGGCCTCGCTCGGGCTTCGGTAAACTGAGAGCTTCAACCTCCCACACGAAACTGTACCGATCTGGAAGTTTTTGCACATCCGGACCGAACTCGTTGCCCCGTATTCCTTTCTGCACCCGACAACTTTATTTCGTTTCATGAATACGATATGTTTGGCGGTGACATAACCAATTAACAGTCAGAGTGTATTGTTGGGCTGCTGGGTTAGGTTGTTTTTACTTGGTCCTTAGG